AAAGTCAATATATATATATGTGTGTGTGTGTGTGTGTGTATTTTAATGCAGTCTTATCAGGGAGAAAGAATAATGTCAGGTAGAAGTGATACAAGATAAGAGAGCCACAAAGGGCTTAAAGGAACATGCTAATATCCTGCAGGAAATGAAGAACCACTGAAGGGTTTTAACAGGGTAGTTCAAAGAGCAGAACTGTGGCAATGGTGTGGGAGGGGTGTAAACTAGAGGCTCAGAGATGAGTTAGGAGGGTTTTGCAGTAATCCTAGTCAGATGATGCACTGAACTCAAACTGGTAGCTAGATGAATGAGTAGAAAGATTCAAGAAATATAGAGGCTAAAATCAGAAGGGCTCAGTAATTGAATAAGTGGAGGGAGAGAGGGATGGAGAGAGGGAGGGAAAGAGGAAGGGAGAGAGGAGAGAAGAGATGTGGGATGATTCCTGGTTTGGGCTTAGAAGCTCAAGTGGATGGATGATGCTGCCCCTAAAACCAGGAATGTAGGATGATCAGGTTCAAAGATGGAGAAAAGGACAATTAAGGGTGTTTTGTTTTGGGGGGGAGGAGCATTTTTTTATTAATGTAAATAATATATACATACATATTTATCAAAACCAATCAAGTACCAATGAACTTATGAAGCCCAACCTCTCAAAGGAAACTTTAGTTATTTCTGGAAGTTATCTCTGTAATTCTAAATGTCTATGCCTCTAATTCTTGATTTATCAATTTCACATCTATGTATTGATACTCTAAAGTAAAAGATCAGGATAGCCCTAGATGGTCTGGCTCAGTGGATAGAGCGTCGGCCCTTAGCCTAAAGGGCCAGGTCACATACCTTGGTTGCAGGCTTGATCCCCAGGCCCTGGGCAGGGTGTGTGAGGGAGGCAACCAATTGATGTGTCTCTCTCACACTGATGTTTCTTTCTCTGTCTCTCCCTCTCTCTTTCAAAATCAATGGAAAAATATTCTCAGGTGAGGATTAACAAAAACAAAAAACAAACAAACAAAAAAGATCAGGATATAGCAATACTTAAAATTCTCTCCTCTCCATTCTCCCTCCTCCCAATGTTTGATAGCTGTTATTAATATTCAGTTCTGCCGAGTAGTTGCAACTTTCAATAATACACTTAAACCTCTACTTCTTGCTTTACAGCTTCAGTCACTACTCAATTCCCCTCAATCTAAGAAAAAGATAGTAGCACTCCTACCCTTTCTTTCACTTTCCCAACTCCCACCTTCTGTTATCTACACGTTTATTCTGTCTATTTATTAATATTCACTGAGTTCAGTGAGCCCTTGCGGGACATGCGATGGAAAGGTTCAGCAGGAGGTTACGCAAACGAGTCTGGAGCTCAGTGGGGATGTCAGGGAGGCCATCCAAGTTGGGCGTCAGCAGCACACACGCAGTCACTATACACCGCCACCGTGCATGCGGAGAGTTCACAGAGAGAAGAGAGCGGCGGGCCAAGGACAGAGGCTGGGCGAGCACCAGCACGTAGTGGCAGGCACAGAAGCGCCACCAAAGGAGACAGAGAGAGAAGGGTTAGAGAGGAGAACCAGGACAGACCAGTGTTATAGAAGCCCGGGGCCAAGTTTCAAGAATACATATTTCCTGAATACTCACTCAGATATCAGCCAGTATTTTTTGCAATGTCTTCTCCACAGAGGATCATGACTTGATAGCTGGCTAAGTCTTCGACTGACGTAGCAACAACTGACAGGAACCAGATTCACGGTTAGTATAGAAAAAAAGAAAAGAAAACAATTTAAAAATCAAGATGAAAATTTTCAGTGTTAAGATTTATTCTATTCCTTTTGCTTTTCCCATTTTCCACTTTCTACCCTTATAATTACAAAACAATATTTTCAAAATCTGTTTAATGTGTTAGCTAGTTACGTTTTGAGTACTGAAATCTTAACCATTTGAGTTCACAAATAAACCCCCAAATCTCTACAATGGTAATTTTCTTATGGGAGTCTACACAATATATAAAGCACTGGAGTTAATTTCAAATCAAAGACCTTCCTGCACTCCTTGTGACGATAATCATTTCTGCACACAGGAAGAGTGTTATTCAGTGTGTGTGTTCTTAAGATCTGTGAGACATTTTATATTAATACACAAGACTTTTGTTTGTTTTGTTCCAACTTTTCTTAAAAGAAATAAATATTGCAGCCAAAACCATTTTAATTATACCAACGATTGGAGAGCCCATCTATAAAGTGTCACCATCATAACAATTCTATTTCAATAGCCATAGCTATTCGAGTTAGTATCAACTGCTCAAAAGCATGCAATGTTAGAAACAAATAAATTCCTTGATACATATTATATTCTATATTGTATTCTTTTTAAAAATATGTTTTTATTAATTTTAGACAGAAAGGAAGGGAGAAGGAGGGAGGGGGAGAGAAACATGGATGGTAGCCTCCGGTAAGCACCCTGACAGGGGACTGAACCCGCAACCTGGGCTAGGTCTACGTGCCCCAATCAAACCGAAGACCTTATGGTGCACCGGACGACGCTCAACCAACTGAGCCACACCGGCCAGTGCTACACTGTGTCCTATCACAACAGTGTTCCTATCCTGTAAATCTAACACTACATATTTAATTTGCAAAAAGGATGAACCTAAGATTAGGAAAATGGATTTCTATCTTTCCAGAAGAGGAATCACAAGTTATAGAAAGTAGTATTCAAAGATCTCACTTGGGCAATGGTAATCAATTAAGGGAATCTTAAATCACATGGGGATTGTCAAGGCCACGAGCAGGGCATGTTAAAAACTTTCTTCAATTTTTAGATTGTACACAAAATTCAACCTCACCCTTTTCTGCCAAGCTCACAAGATGCCCAAACGAACATTTGCAAACACTGAATCTGTCCAGTTTTGTAATTCAGAGTCCTCCTTTCTTGAGCCTTCTCCTCCACTGTCCCAAGAGTTAAACAACATAAAGGAATCTCTGAAGTAAGCACCAAAGGTGATTCTGATGCACAGCAAGGATGAGAACTACTGTTCTAGAGATTCTGACTCAGTTTGCTTGGGGCAAGATCTTTACCTCAGGCACGTGTACGTTTAAAAAGTGCCACATGTAATTCTGATACACATTGAGGGTTAAGAATGATTGGTACATAATAAATCACCCTGGAATGGAGAAGAAGATTCAAACTATGACAAAATGACCCTAATGAATGAATCCAATCCAACCCAATCCAGTTCAGCAATATGTACCAAAAACTTCAGAGCTTAGCAATGAGCAGGACACTTGACAAAGTTGAGCTGTGTTTTTCTTAAAAGAAATATAGTGTAGGAAAGAAGTTGCAGTACATTGGAAACTTTTCTGTGGATAAAATGCAATGGTTTTTGTTAATGTTATGTGTCAACTTGCTTGGGCCAACGGATGCCTAGATAGCTGATTAAACATTATTTCTGCGCTGTGCCTGTGTGGATGTTTCTGGAAAAGATTAGCATTTGAATTGGTAGACTAAGTAAGCCAGATGACCTTCCCCAATGTGAGTGGACATCATCCAATCCAGTGCGGGCCTGACTAGAACAAAAAGGCAGAGGAAGGCTAGATCTGCTCTCTGACTGACAGCCTGAGCTGAGCCAGGGATCTTCTTTGCCAATACCTTATAAGTCACACACACACATTTTTTCTCTCTCAAGAACCCTAATACAGTATTCAACTCAGCTCACTTTCATAAACATTTATGGAGGGATCATGTCACATCTGTTTATAGCTTTGATTACTACCTAAAGCATTTAAAATAAAATCTGATCTCCTCACCTTGGCTCACAAGGTCCTGCATGAGCTCACCAGTCTCTTCTCAAGTCACTCTGCCTGAGTCACTCCCTACCTCCCGCAACACCAGCCTTCTAGCTCCTCCAACAGGCCATGCTGTGGTCCAATCAGCTTCTGAGCACACTGTTCCCTCTGCCAGGACTGCTCTCTGGCATCCTGCATATATGGTAGCCCCTTCTGATTTGAATTGATTGTCTCTCCCTCTCATTCCCTAACAAAGTAATTGATTTATTTCCTTCATAGCACTTAGTACAGGGGTCCTCAAACTACGGCCCGCGGGCCACATGCAAATACAAATATTGTATTTGTTCCCGTTTTGTTTTTTTACTTCAAAATAAGATATGTGCAGTGTGTATAGGAATTTGTTCATAGTTTTTTTTTTAAACTATAGTCCGGCCCTCCAACGGTCTGAGGGACAGTGAACTGGCCCCCTGTTTAAAAAGTTTGAGGACCCCTGACTTAGTATCTCTTGTATTTGCACTTATTTTCCATCTTTCCCACTAGACTGTAAGCTTCATGAGAGGCGCCTTTATCTGTCTTCCTCACTATTGTATCCAAGACATTTAATAGACTGGCACACAACAGGCATTTAAAAAAAATCTATGAATAAATGATGATTACAAAGATAAACAAGGCAGTCTTTACATTTAAGAAGTGTACAACCCATCTGGCATGGCAAATAAACTGAGAAAGAAGTTAAGAGAAAGGAACCAAGTGAGGGGGTCTTAAAGAAATTTCATCTTGCCAGGATGGGAAGGGGGGACAAGGCACTGCGGGGCAAGGTCAAGAGCTGAAGCCACAGAATACAAGCATGCAGTATGCTGGCAAAAGTCTGATTTGGCTACAGTGCACTGTGCCAAATGCTAAGAGTCTTAAATGCTTCCAGAAATTTAGATTATAGTCTGCAAACAAGAGGCGTCTAAGTTTTTAAGGAGAACGACAGGATGATCTGTCTTAGAAAGTTCACCCTGCAACAATGTAGTCCATAGACCATAAGGGTGTGTGTCTGCATTCGATTTTTAAGAGGCTATAGCAACAGAGTATTTCAGATGAAGACAGTCTGCAGCCGGATCAGCCTTTCCCAAAGATAAACTTTATCTCTGCTTCAGTACAAGCCCGGGTAGACAAAAATTTGGTTTTCAGGAAAAAATAAGTGTTACAGCCAGAAACTGGAGTTGCCCCTCTGTCACTCCTTAGCTAGACCAACCAACAGCGACCAGCAGCTCCCAAAAGGCTGTATTTCTGAGACGATCCCTGATAACACAGGGCACAATCCTCAAACGGCTAGAATCCAATAGTTAATCCAAAAAAAAAAAACAACAAAAAAAAACACACCAAAAACAAAAACCCTGAATCTCGCCTACCCATCCTTAAGAGGGCGACTTCACCTCCTCTTCAACAGACGTGGCAGCACAAAAAAAAGACAGAGCCATGCCACCAGCTGTCAAGGGTGTAAACAGCGCCATTTCTGCCACCATCCCAGACAGTCTCCAGCGCCGAAGGAACCGGGCGGAAGGAACTGGGCATCGAACCACCCCGAGCGGCAAGCGGTGTTTATTTCTGGAGCAGATGCTAGTGATCTGGGCCACCCAAAGCGCGCGTGCAGGAGAGACAGCGGTCACCTGGATCGCACCGACGGAAGTCAGTACCAAGACACAAAATGCAACCTGTCACAGCGAGGAGCAAGGCTGGCAGCAGAACGACGTCTGCGGCAGCGAAGTCCCGGAGGGCGCCGCGCGCCGCCAGGTACAGAGGTGCGCGCAAGTCGCACCTGGGGTCTGGGGGTCGCCCGGCTCCTCCTCGCCGGCGCCCTGCCTGCCTATTCCGGGTCCGCTGCGCAGAAGAGCGCTCGGGCCAGAGTGGGTCTTTCCAAAGCGGCCGGGGCTGGGGCACCTCGGGTGCAGGCCGGGGGGTGTGGGGTGCGGGCTGCGGGGGTCTTGGGGGCGGCAGAGGGAAGCAGTACCTCCCTCGCCCCGGAAATGAGCCTCACCGAGGCCTGGGAGACAGGGCTCCCGTCGCTCCTCGGGGCTGGGTCCCGGACGGAAGACCTCCAGGCGGGGCCCTGACTGCCCCCATCCCGCCCCGGCCCCCTGGATGGTTCTGCAGGAGGGCGGCCCCGCATCACCTCTGGTTCACGCGGGGTCCGGGTCCGGGTCCAGTCGGCGAGCCGGGCCCCCGTCCCTCCAGCCTCGCCGCCTCCTCCCGCCCCCGTGACCCCGCCCCTGCCACGCGCGCCGCCCCATTACTTGATTAGGTCCCGGTAGTCCAAGAAAGATAAGATCAGCAGCAGGGGGTCGGTGGGCAGCGATTCTAGGGTCAGAGGCGCGGACTCCGGCTCCACGGCCGCCATCTTGCCTGGCCCGGTGCAGGCCTGGCCCCGCCCAGGGCTGGCTAGGCCCCGCCCCCGCCCCGGCACGGGCGCCGCTCCTCAGCGACTCACTCGGGTTTGTTATGTAACTGCCGGGATGGCCACGCCCATTGGGCGGGACAGGGGCGTGGTCTAGAGAGGCCCCGCCCGCCGGCCCTCCGGCTCGCGCCCGCGCGGTAGGATCCCTCTGCGCCCTGAATCCCGGCTCTTCCAGGATGCGCGAGCTCTGCAAACCTGAGGTCGCTGGTCCCACTCAGGTCCCTAAACTGGCCCGGCCCGGGCCCCCTACAGCCTTTGTTCCAAAATTTTCAGCCTCCAGTCCCTCATGCAAAATTTTACACCTCGTATCCTCGAAAGCCTCGCCCCAAATCTCACGCTAAATCCTCGCCGCCTTGGCCTCCAAATCCATTGCTTCTCTTCGTTTTGCGACCTGGAAACCCTTCCTGTCCCCGCTTCAACCTTCCTCGATCCGCGTGTCCCTTGCGTAGAGCGAGGCGGCTCCCAGCCACGTTCCACTAAATAGGGACAGGAGCGCATAATTTTAACCCCAAAAGGTGAACCGGGACTGAATCTAAGGGTCAGCCGCTGTCACTTGGTCGCCCTGGTTGTTCTACGGCAATTGGAGCAATGCAGAGTCTATAGTCAATGGATTTTTGTTTTGTTTTTGCCAAGGTCTGATCTCGGAGGGGTAAGCACCCAGATGTAACAGGGTGAGTGGAACACCCCACCCCCACCACCACCACCCCGGGGCGTAATTGAGCAGGATCACCTTTGCCAAGCAGGCATTAAAGCAGGAGTGGGAGAGGGAGGTGTGTCATGAATTGTGAGCGAGAGAGAGCATCATTTACCTTACCTGATTTCTTATTTTTCTTTGCTTTTCCAAAGGCAGGAAGGCGTAAGGGCTTTGGGGACTGCAGTCGGACCTGTACTTCACACAGGTCATTTACTTTACCCGAAGTGAGATGGTGGACCAGTTAAGAGTCGCTAAAAACCAGGTGGCTTATGGATGGCAATGAAGCTAGAGATTCAATAAATGTTCATTATTCAAGCCTATCCATCCATCCATCCATCCATCCATCACTAAGTTTTCCAAATTTTTCCATTTGCTGGAGAAAGTTTCCTCCCAATTATTTGGAAAAGTGAAATGATCCTCCCCACTTCCACCACCCTTCCCCGCCCCCCCCCAATAATCCCACTCCATTTCCTCAGTTCACCATATCATTAATGCTTTATGGTTTTGTCTAATATTAATTACCCTTCCCTCCCCTCCACAGGACGATATTAACCATGTTTATTTTCTGTATTTTACGGTTTTGCATCCTAAAAATGGTGCTGACTGGGAATAGACTAGCCTGCTACGGCTAATTCCTAAAGAGATCAAGCAACTTACTTGGGAGTGCACCTCTCATTCGCAAGCAACCACCCCCTTTATCTCACACTCACACACCAAGCTAATACATCCCCTGCTCTCAATCATCCCAGGGCCAGGCACCAGGCAACTAGAGAGCACCCCTGTACCCCCAAACCCACATTTATTCTTCCAAACTGTTTACTCTGCCCTGCCTTCCCAGTGCAGACCCCAATAAAGGCTCCAGCCTAAAATTTCCCCCTGCTCCCGCTCTGCCTCCTGACTGAGACCTGATACTCCCCTGTGGCCCTGCGTGTCCTGGTTGTGCCCCTTCTCCAGGGGAATGTAAGACAACTCTTTCCACGGCAGGGGCTTTGCCATGGGGGCACTCTGTCACCTCCATACATTAAAGGCCCTTGGATACAAACGAGACACTTCCAGCACGCACCCCCTCCGCAGGGTCACTTTTGAAGGTGCTGGGGAGAAAAGGCTGGCAGGGGTGCAGGAAAGCCCAGACTTTTCTGTATGAGGCTGGCCTGTCCGCTTGGCCTCGTCCCTCAGCCTTCAGACCAATTCCATCCTCTTAGGGCCCGTCACCAGGGGCCCTTGTCACCCATTCTAGGAGCTTCTGTGGCCAGTTTCTCGAGCTCCTGCTTTCTGAGAGCCTGCTGCTTGCCCAAAGCTCCCAGGGCCCTGAGAGAGGCAAGGATGTAACACAGGCCAGGGCGCCATCCACCAATTCGGTAGCCTGTGGGGCTGGGGAGCCACTAGGGTCGGGGTCTTACTGTGTGTCCTGTTGAGGATTAAACAGGTCAGTCTGCCCACTGTCCTTCTCGTAGTCCGTGGCAGACCTGGGCATGGATGAGTGAGGGACACTTGGCACGCAGGTTTGGGTGGGCTAATGCTGGGCTATTTGGGGGGAGTCCTGGGAGGAGAACACTCTCTAGGAGGAAGAGAAAGTTCAGTCTGTGCCCTCGCTCTGCCCTGGGCCCCAGGAGGCTGTGAGCTTCTTCGTCTGGTTCCCTTGTCACCCGGCTTCCAGATGGTTCAGCCGGTGGAAAGCCATTGAAGGAGATTGGGGAAGGGGCAGAAAAGGGAAATTAGGGTGTCTAATTCCATCAGCTGGGGTTGGCCATGGCTGTGCCCTGCAGCTCCAGTGACACGGTTCCCTCCCCTTGGCTTATTAAAATTTTTTAAACATTTTACATTCGTCTTAGAAGAAAAACCTGAAAAGCAGTCTTGGTAATCAGACTGAAGTATGGTAGCAACCATTTCAGGTGGAAACTGTAGTTTAACTCTAACCCTGCTGTTTGGCTTAACAATATAAAAGTTACTTTGATTTTCTGAATTGTATAAATCATCCCATTCGATTGAATGCCTTATTGATTGTGACGTGACTATTCCATTGTTATCTTACTGGTCTTAGAGAGCACATTCTTCTGTACCTGGGAAACAGGACAGCACAATTACCCTAAATTGTTTTAGTGGCCACAGGTGGTGCGTTCCAGCTGACTCAGTGGTCCCAAGACCAGGACAGCACAATTACTCTAAATTGTCCTGACAACTCAGTTGTCGGGAGACCCGAGGGCTCTAGATAATGTGTTTCTATCAACTCAGTGATCCGGAGACCCAAAACTGTAATTTAGATAACATGCCTAGTTTAACCCAGGTGACCCCGAGACCCGAAACTGTAATTAACATGCTTAATTCTGCTTCTGTAATCTGCTTTTTTGGGAACCAGGTGCCACATTCCAAACCCTGGGATGTAATCAATACCTTTGTGATTTTTGCCTACATAAGTCTGGTTTTGCCACCATCTTATGGCTATGAGATTTGGGAATGCCCCCTCATAGTCCCGGATTGCAATAAATGTGACTCTTTAATTCGACTTCTTGAGGCGTCCTTCTGTGATTCGCGGGGTACGTTACAACAAGACGAGACTGGAAGAGACTGAGCCAGTACTTTATAACCTAGATCGGAAGTTCAATGCTGAGCTGCGGAAGTTCAGAAACGACTTGTTTCCCACCCAGGGAGAGGCGGGTGATATGGTAGGTCCATGCAGTTCCACAGGGATGCGGGGGAAATTGCCAAGGATGGAGCAGGAGGCTCGGACCCACCGCCACAGTGGTGATGTGGCGATAACAGCGGTGACGATGCGGCTAGCCTTTATCTAGCATTCACCGTGCGCCTGGGTCCACGCAAAGAAGCAGTAAAGGCGGGACCAGAATTGCAACGGAGGGAGCGACCCTGGCCTATACCACATCACATAGGCCTGGAGTTTGGACAGTCTGGAGTCTGTTACAGTGCCAGGACCCTGACAGAGTTTTTGTCCGCAAACACTCTGGTGTTCAGAATAGTGCTGTGAGGTGGCCAGTGGTCACCGAGGCTCAGAGAAACGATCTTGCCCAAAGTTACAGTGACCGGTGAACAAACAAAGCTAAATTGAGATTCATTTTCCAGACCTTTATATAGATCATCTCAACCCCTCAAGTCTCCCACTTGGCTTACAGGAGAAAAAGAGGAGCTCCTCTAAGCATTTTTCCTTCTGAATCCGTCTTTCAGGGTAGCGTGTGGACCCAGAGGGAGATTTTTCATGCTTAATGCAGATATACGTGACTGCCCCTAGGAACTAGTCTCTTGGGGGCATTTCATTTGTCGTAGGGGAAAGTGGGGGAGGGAAATGCCTGTGAGTCTGTTCACCCTTGGGTCATGGGGAAGCCAGGTCTTCTCCTTCTCCTCCTTCCTGTTTTCTACCCTTCCTCTTCCTCTTCTCTGCTTGTCCTTAATTAAATATTCCTGCTCCAGGTGGAAACACTTAGATGTGGAAAACTGCCTGTAGTGCGCAATCTGACCACCAGAGGGCAGCACGAGACCGTAGCTTTGTCGGTCTGACCAGGACCAGGACCTTTTAAATCAGTGATCTGATCTTGGGTTCCCAGACCTGTCTGCACATTAGAATCACCTGATGACCTTTTGTAAAATCACGGGTGCTTAATGTTATATAATTGGCTTGTGGTCTCCACCTCAAGTCAATTGCATCTTCTATGCCTGGGGATAGGGCACAGGTGTTGCTAGTTTTTTTAGTTTCTCGGGTACAGATTGAGAACCACTAATGGAGAACATTAAATCCTGAAAACTGTAAAGGCTTTCAGGAATCACCTAATCCTTTTCCCTAAAGAGGTGCCAGAGGGTAAGCTGTTTTCTCACATCGGACCAGGGGCAGCAGGAGGAGATGGGGACACCAGACCTGTCAAGCGTGAGGGAGCTACTCCAGTAAAGGGTCAGTTTTGAGAAGAGTTAGGCGGGTTTACTTCTTGGCTGACACCACCTCCTCTGTGCGCTCTGGGAAGCTGTCAGCAGTCCGTGGGTGCATTCACAGATCCCAGCAGGCTTGTTTTTGCTTCAGAAGTTGACAAGCTGATGCTAAAATTTATGTAGGAATTGCAAGGCCACAGAATAGCCAAACAATTCTTCCAAAAGAACAAAGCTGATGAATGTAATCTGCCTGACTTTAAGGCGATATAAACATGCAGTAGTGAAGTAGATTTAAGTATGTGTAGATTTAATAGAAATCAATAGAATAATATGTGCATAAGGGCTATTGTTTTTCAAGTATTAAAGTGCCAGAGTAATTGGGGGAAGAATGGTGTTTTTAACAGATAGTGCTGGTAAAATGTAGAACCACCAGGAGTTCTACAGCTGCAGGAAATGACTTCTGCCAACAGCCACATGAGCGTGGAGGACTGGGCCTCAGGTGAGCCTGCAGCCCTGGCCCACACCTGGGTCGCACGAAGCCTATGAGGCCCTCAGCAGAAGACCCACAGAAATGGAGACAATAGCCCTGGCTGATTTGGCTCAGTGGATAGAGCTTCGGTCTGCGGACTGAGGGGTCCCAGGTTCGATTCTGGCCAAGGGCATGTACCTTGGTTGCGGGCACATCCCCAGTGGGAGGTGTACGGGAGGCAGCTGATCCATGTTTCTAACTCTCTGTCCCTCTCCCTTCCTCTCTGTGAAAGATCAATAAAATATATATATTTTTTAAATGGAGACAAATGTACTTTGTTTAATTAGACACATTGGGGGTGCTATGTAGACAGTGAATACAATAGGAAAATTCACAAAATAAATAATAGATGAGTAGCCAATAAGTACACGGCAAGATGCTCAACATCGTCATCAGAGAAATGCAAATTACAACTAAAATGAACATACTCTGTTCACACACAACAGCTGAAGCTGGGGAGGAAACTCTGACCATACTAAGTGCAGCATCTGGCACTTTTATAGACCACGAGGGAAATGGTACGACCATTTGGGAAAATAGTTTGGAAGTTCCTCATAAACTAGAACACAGATTATCCTATGGCCCAGCTACTCACCTGTAGATATTTACTCAAGAGAAATGATAGCATACGTCCATACAAAGACTTAGACTTGAATGTTCACTGAACTTTTTATTCACAATAGCCAACAGAAACAGCCCAGGTGAATCTCAACAGGCGAACGCATAAGCAGGCAGAGCTGGACTCAGCCAGGGTGTAGACCTCTGTCAACACTCTAACTTTACACTTACAACGGGTACATTTTCTATCCAAGTTGTACCTCCGTGGAGTGGATTTTTAACAGTTCACTCTCCCGGCATGACTGCATTTGCTGGAAAGTGGTCCCATAGAGAGGGAAAAAGGAATGATGCGGTGGATGGAGGTCAACTGCAGGAGGGATGTCCTAGACTAGGAAGCGGGGAGGCCCCGGGGCTTAGCAGGAATACTGGCTCCTGATAGGACCAGGGGCAGTTTATCTGTCTTCCTGTCTACAGGAAGCCCTGCAGCAGCTGAGAGGAAGGAGACCCAGGTCTGTGGGAGGTGGGAGGAGAGACGAAAAGGCGTGGAAGTCATGTCAGAGAGTGGGAGGGAAACATGGGCCTGCTGTCTGCCGCTCACGTCTTCCCACTCCCACCCCCACCCCTACATTCACCTTGGGACTCCCCCTCCTCGCCCCCCCATATTCCTCTCCCCCATCACTGTCTTATTGAGCAGCTGGAAGAGGCAGCAGTTTCACATTAGCATCTTAGCCTGGTTACCATCGCTATGGGAACTCCAGGCCCCGTGGCCTGAGGGGCAGGCCAGGGCTTTGCAGGGTGGGCCCCGTGCCCTCTTCCCCCTCGGTGTTCACAGGGTCCTGGGAAACCTCTGCTTTGTTGCCTAGGTCCTTGCCTCTCTCAGGGCCCCGGGAGCTTTGGGCAAGTAGCGGGCTCTCAGAAAGCAGGAGCTCGAGAAACTGGCCGCAGGAGCTCGAGAAACTGGCCACAGAAGCTTCTTGAATGGGTGACAAGGGCCCCTGGTGACAGGCCCTAAGAGGAGGGAATTGGTCTGAAGGCTGAGGGACCAAGCCAAGTGGACAGGCCAGCCTCACACAGAAAAGTCTGGGCTTTCCTGCACCCCTGCCGGCCTTTTCTCCCCAGCACCTTCAAAAGTGACCCTGCAGAGGGGGCTGCGTGTACCCCGCCCTGCTTCCTGCCTTTCAGGACCAAACCCAGGCCCTAGTCTTCCCGCCCATCTCTGCCTCTCCCCGCCCCGCCAGGGCCCCCCAGCTCCTCACACCCACCTGGGGCCCAGGGCCCGTGGACCTGGGGTTTCCCGGGGCTGCCAAGCTTCCAGGGAGCCAGGGACTCTGCCGGCCACTTCCAGCAACAATAGTTCCTCTTGGTGTCTGTGAGAGGATGCCAACTCCAGCCTCAGATGGTCCATTGGCCCGTCTCCTCCACTGGGACCTCATGGACATGCCTCACTCTTCAGCTTTAAGTCCCGTTACGTCTTACCCTGAAGGGACTCTCATGTCAGCTAAAGGCCTGTTTGTCCCTGTGGACACTCAACCCCCCAGAGTCCACGCTGAGATTTGTGGTTTTAAAAAACAAGACCTCACCACTAAAGACGGTCGCCTCTCCTGTCGTCCGAGGAGCAAACGCCGACCTGTGTCCAGTGGCACCAGCTGGCTCCCGTGGGCGGCAGGCGGACGGCTGGAGCTGACTGTTTCGCTGGGGCCCTGCACCCATGCTCCTTATGGAAGGGCGCCATCCTGATCCCGCTTGCAGGCTTATTGCTACTGGGTGTCACCGGGACGGGCGAGTGCAGATTTATCGCAATTTCCCTGCAGATGGCAGCAACGTGTCTTAAGAGGTTGCACACGTTTTGTTCCGCTTTTACTCACCAAAGCCAACAACAGACCCACGTTCTCTAAAAGTATTTCTGCTTGTGAACAAGAAACTGCTTTTCGAATGGATGTGCTGGTAGGTGAGGATTTCAAAAATAATTTTTAAAAATCCCCATTGTTGTTAATGCCCAACTAATGTAGCGTTTCAGGTTGCATCACGCCATCTGCTGGTTACTGGCTGCATTCAGAAGGAGCTGCTGACTTCCCAACGCAAACCTACAACCATCACTCTACATATGCACAAATAATCCACAAAATAAATTATATGCACATAAGTTAGAAATTCCCCTTTTAATGATCTGGCAATTACATAATAGCAATTGCTCATTGTTACAGATTGCTGGGGTCCTGCCCCAGCAGGTCCAGGGGTCCCCAAAGGTGTGGATGGAGTCGGCGAAGAAGGAATGACACGGAGACGGAGTTCAGTTGATCAGCAGCCTAGCCAGGATCTCTAGCCAGGATCTCCAGCCAAGTTCTGGTCTGGATCTCCAGAGAGGTTCTGCTTCAGATCTCCAGCCAGGTTCTGTGTCCATGTTCTCTTGCTAGGTTCTCCAGGCAGGTTCAGTTACCAGGTTCTAGTCAGGTTCTCTTGCCCATTTCTGTAGTCAGGTTCAGTCCAGGATCTTTTGCCATGTTCTCTCCAGCGAAGTTCTTCTGTCTCTAGTTCTGTGTGTTCTGTCTTCTTACATCTGTATTTATACCAGTTGATTCCAATCCTATCAATCTCTATTTCAAAGGTTAGGGCGTTTCTTATCTCCATTCCAAGGAGTAAAGATTATGTAGCTTAAGCATGATTGTTCGTAGTTAAAGTGATTAATTACCCACCTGGCACTTAGTTAAGAGGTTTTATTCCCTCCCTAACTTCAGGGGAAAATCCCTACCTGGGGAAACAACCTTTCTTGGAGAGGTGACCTTGGTTAAAACACATAGTGCCAAGAAGGTGAGCAAACATATTAAGAACAGTATGCCATATATGCCAGGTCCCTTGAAACAGCAAGCATGGACCGGCTCCCGGCAACAGATATCTTTTTAGTAAGAATATTAACACTTAATATTTAGCAGCTAGTTAATGATATATACTTTGTATGTTACATACATGTAGGTTCTAAAATAAAATTCTAATTTTTTGCTCAGCTATTATGAAAGAATTTTTAAAATTAATTTCAAAATCAGAAGACAGAGAAGAAAATGAAAATGAATGCTTTTTTTTTTTTTTTTTTTTTTTGAGAATGAGGGCAGCAAAGACTGCTGGACTAGGATGGGAATTTACCATCAATATTTATGCCAATCATGACTGGTTAATTTTGAGAAAAAGTGGAAGAGAAAATAAACACATTCAACTGGATATATCCAGGTACCTGGCTATATAATTTGAATATTTAAGAATTTGAATATTAATAACACTCTCGTTGACATTTGTCTGCTTTATATAACAAATGTAACTATCATCAAATTTAATCAAGTTTAACTACCCTCCATACAGGTAGAAAAGTTTCAGAAATTAGTTATTCATACATTCTTACTAATGATCAAAAACCCCAAATTAATGTACCTGCGTTATTTCCGTGCTTTATCTATGTGGCAAATTCCTCGGGGATGAAAAATAAACTGAAGAATGAAACTGTGAGCAAAAATTGGCAGCATGCGTCACATTACTACTAAAAAGAAGGCAAATGCGCTTTAACCGTAGTGTTAAAAAGTCGAAGCTGGATTTGGGAATGCTCACTTAGAGAGATGCACGTAACAAAGACGCCGTGAGGAGGAGAAGCCACATTGGAGCACGTGCTCTGCACGTTCAGCGTTTGGCAAGGCCGCGTGTAAGGGGAGGATTTATCCAAAGAACTGTGAGCCCAGTGATGAGAATTGTCATCCTTTGGTGGAGAAAAAATTGGGTTACATAATGGCACACCAATTAACAGATAATATTACACATTGTAAGGCATGAAATGTAAAATCAAATGAAGTTATAGCAGGCACAATGCATGACCTGCTTTTGAAAAAGATAAGAAATGCAAATATTTGATTATTTTAGATACAACTCCTGGCATAAGCCATTTGGGAGTTATTAGATTGGTGGATTTCCAAAAAAGTAAACATTTCAGATGTGACCATTTGGACAAACGGGGTTGTCCAGTCAACGGCAAAACAGAAGACAGGGTATGTGTATCTTCATAAGACTACTTACAAAAACCGAATCTAAAGAAAAATTGGATGGAGCAATGCCACAGGTATGTGTAGAGACGTAATGGATTGCCACAGAGCCTCAAAAATAATTCCAGGGCATTCTATATTTTTTGTTGTGCATCTTCTTTACGTTCGGTATTGAACCAGGCAGCAAGCATCTATTTTGCCAGCACTTTTATATCATCTGAGAAATTATATAACTACTCTTTTTGCGTTAGCCGAGTGGTGGAGTATATTGAGAATGCATTTATGGAACATAAAATTTAAGATCACTGTTGAATCTGAGTTGGGAAAATTGAGTAGATGCCGTCTTGCTACTGAGGCATCATTAGAGGAAGTCTGTCATGCCTGCTGCTGATGTGAACACAAACAGGTTCTAAAGCACAAGCCAAGAGCATGCAAGCCTTTGAAATATTCTCTTTCAAAGGCACTGCTCAGGGGGCCAGGGAACCCAGCTTGCGACTGAGGCCTCACTCTTCTTAGGGGTCCTTTCCAGCTGAGCTATCCCTCCAGAATCTCAGCAGCCACCTGTGGAAGCAGGGCCAGCCCCTTCACCCTTCCCACCAGCCTCCAGGGGGCTTGATCTGTACATCCTTGCTATGAGACTTCTCTTCAGCTAGTCTTCAGCTGGTTATTCAGGTTAGTTGCTCTATTTTCTGCATGTAATTCCAGTTTGTATCTAAGAGGCAATGAGTGTAGCTTGCACCTACTCCACTGCCATCTTTGATCTCTTCATTTGATTTCTGAGTTTTAGGGTGTGTTTTTTATCTGTAAAATAAGAACATTGGGCAAGATGATCTCTAGGGTTCCTTCTATCTCTAAAATTCTCCATTTTACTGTTTGAAGACGAGGAAATGCTGGCAGCGGCATGAAGGGCACCAGGTGTTAGACTGTGTGGTCAGACCAGACCTGGATTCAGCAGTCTTGGTACTTGAGTTCTAGCTAGGGAAGAATTCAGAGCCAAGACTCCAACTATAAGTGAACATTTATTTATAAAATCACGGAGGTGGAATAAGTAATTCAAAGAGGGAATGGACTGAGGAAACAAGTTATAAAGGCAAAGGAAAGGCCCTTGGAGCTTAAAAGTGAGGGAGGTAGAGGTGGCACCCCTGGGGGGTGGGAAGGGGAGGGAGGAAGAGGGGGGGAAATGCACTGCTCAGAACTCATTTGGAATGAAGGTAAAATGAGTGTGATAAGCAAAATTAGATGGGAACCAGAAGTCAGTATATTATTCCCTTGACAGCCTGTAATGGGCTAAAGAAACCTTTCAAGAAAAATGAATTTATGACCACTACGAACGGATGTTATTGCTGATACACACGTCTCAGTTACTTGACATTGACTCCAACTCTCCCAATGTGAAAATGCCAGCGAAGGGAGGGAGATTCGTTTCAGATGTTATTTCCACAGACGATCCACTTATCCAAAATCTGTTTCTCTTTCTTCTCTATTATCTTTAAAGGAACAGTTGGCATTGCTGAAAGACATCAATGGCCTTTCCAGCAGCCTCGATCGGTATTTCTCAAGTTTCCACGTGTGAACAGAGCACCTAGGGATCTCAGGAAAACGCACACTCTGACTCAGCCATTGTGAGGTGAGGTCTGAGAAGGTACCTTCCCCACAAGCTCCTGGTGGTGCCGGATGCCGGGTCCTCGGAGGCTCACGGTTCCAGAGAGCTCATTACCATCAAAACGGGTAAAAATGGTCCATTGATTGGGCTTTTTGATGAAGATGGCACCGAAAGCGAAGAAGGAAGCCCCTGCCCCTCTCAAAGCCGAAGCCAAAGCAAAGGCTTTGAAGGCAAAGAGAGCCGTGCTGAAAGGCGTCCACAGCCACACAAAAAAGAAGATCCGCGTGTCAGCCACCTTCCGAGGCCGAAGACGAAGGCTCCGAAGGCAGCCAAATATCCCCGGAAGAGCACGCCCGAGAAACAAGCCTGCCCACTGTGCCATCATCACATCCCCCCGACCACCGCGTCCACCGTGGCGAAGAGAGGACAATCACACACGTGAGTTCCCTGTGGGTGTCAAGGCCAACGAGCACCAGAGCCAACAGGCTGTGAGGAAGCTCTGTGACGTCGAGGTGGCCAAGGTCAGCACCCTGGTCAGGCCTGATGGCGAGAAGAGGGCATATGTTTGACTGGCTCCTGGCTAAGACGCTTTGGATGTTGCCAACAAAATGGGCACCATCTAAACTGACCCAACTGGCTAATTCTACAGATAAAAATTTACGCTGGAAAAAAAAAGTACAATTGGAATCGAAGAACGTTATGCCTCCTTCATCAATGTATAAAGAACTACAACCTAAAGTTGTCTTTGTACAATCTAGTGTTCGCTCACCAAAATGTTGCAATATGTCTATGACAATAATGTACCAGATCCATTTTCAAACTATTTTGAAACTTTCAAGGTACAATTAATCTGACCAATACCTTGATCAGTGAAGAATGTGGCCTCTCAAAATTAAATATGTTAAAACCAACGCAAAGTCCTCAAAACCATAAGAAAGATGACCAATCTGGCGATCCTTTCTACAACATACGAGCTATTAAAAAAATAAAAAGTAAGCCTTAAAACTATCAAAAGAATTATTTCTACCAAGAAAAGATGTGTATCTATCTTACAACAAATTATTAGGCCCCCGTGACTTAAGTTCCTAATATTATAATTAAACATTTGAATTTTCCATTATTGTTTAATCAATCATTTATTTGTATAATTTATATACAATTACTTTTACCTAGTATTTGTTATTATTGAGAAATAACTAACATAACTTTTGTGTTAACTTGAGGGAGGGGTGGCTTTTTCAAATTTGTATAAAATGCCACATGGGCTGGTGGTAGCCTTGGTTTGGGTAGTGTCCTTAATAGAGAATAAAATGACCTATGGAACCTATTTGCCTATTTTCAGGGCCCTGATAGCCTGAAGTTCCTGTCTCGTGTGATTAGAAGGATCAAAGTACAATCTGACCCCAAATATTAGTAGATGGTTATGAGAATACCCACGGTGCTAAGGGAAACAGGATTCTTGGCCATGCTTCTCTCTCCGAGATGCCCAGGGAAACAACCACCAAGACCTCACGGGAAAAATAGAAATTATGGATCTGCCTGGCATGGAACCCTAGAACCGAAAGCTCGCCCAGGGCCCATGGCAGCTCCAGCGATCGCATCCTGCATTTCTTCCTCAGCAGTCCACACCTAGCCATTCAAGTGGCTCATCCTTTCCCCCTCTTCCTCTTCCCCTCTGTTCCCGCCTTCGCTATTTTCTCTGGGTAGATCAATTCAAAGGAGAGAATTCGCCCTGGCTGGATAACTCTGTTGGTTGGAGCACCGTCCTGATACGCCAAGGTTGTGGGTTCGGTCCCTGGTCAGGGCACATGCAAGAATCAACCAATGAAAGCATAAATCAGTGGAGCAGCAGGTCAATGTTTCTCTCTCTCTCTCTCTCTCTCTCTCTCTCTCTCTCTCTCTCTCTCTCTCGTGAGAGAGAGGTTACTGATGGTCCTGCTAGACCAACTTCTCACTGGACTCCAGACTTGTGCTTGGAGAGCCCCCTTGTGGCAGCCTCTCTAAGCAGGGGGCAGCGGTCAGGAACCCCTTACTTTCAGAATGGGGGGGGGGGGGCTTTATGGGCTGAGGTGTAGTGAACCTTTTGAAAATAGTCCTTTTCTTTTAAAAAACACCCTTGATGGCAATTTTCTTTCTAAACAGCATTTATTTTCCTGGATATAAAAGTAACACCTGTTTGTTTTTACAAAATATAGACAAAGATAAAAACAAAATGATCACTGTTCATTTTAACGTATTTTCTTCCCGTTAAATGTGTATGTGTATGCATACTCCCATGCACAGATAAAACATATATATAAGATTTGGGATTAGACAACATTTCTTTTTTCATTTATGTTGTGTGAGACTTTTTCCTAGGTCATTAAAAAAAAATCTCCCCTTCCCATTTGACTATCACATTTTCTCCTAATAGATTTTAGTGGCTATGCTTATGGGATAGATTAAAATTGCCATGGTCTGAAGAGGGAGGATTTATTTGTGTCCTCCTCCTATATGAAATGGCTGAACAGAAAAAAAAAAATCTCCCCAAACTCCCTTGGTAATGGCTCCCCCCCCCCCCCCCCCTCCAACAGAAGGTGGGTCATTATCAGCCGCCTCACTAGCGTGGACAGATGTGCATTTTAACCAGACTTCAGTGGTATGGAAATGTTGGAAGGGGGCGCTGTGCTTTGGGGGCTCTCATCCCAAGGCCGGTCTGAAGCCAGATACCTGGCTCTGTCTCCAGGTCGCCTCTGGCAGCCCCGGCTCCATCTGCAGGAACAGAGGCTCCCTGAGCCGGGACACCAGCCCGGGGATTCGTTGCCCATGTTTGTGGGAAGGAGCTGGGGGTAAAGGGTTACCGGATTAGAGAGCTAAGCTGAGGGCCGCACCTGCAGGCCGCCCTGCGCCCTGAATTTACAGCGGGAGCCCGGGCGTCGTATAAATGAGTAATGCTTCCTGAAGCTCTCCTCCGAGCGAGCTGCACAAATTGGCAGGGCCCTTCAGAGTGCTGTCGATGCGTGTGGAATTCCAATAATTTGATGCCGAGATGCAATGACAATGGGAAGCAAGGCATTACCTTGAGAGAACCATGGCAGAGCCGGCTGCTGCAGCCGGTGCTCATGGAAAGTGTGGCCTAACCACCGTTCTCCCTGAAATCTCTCATCTCTCGCTGCTGTCGCCCTGATCAAGGGCATTAAATTAAAGAGTAATGGAGCTGCTAATTCTTTGTGTGTGTGTGTGTGTTTCCCCTCGTCCAGGCAGTGAGGAATGGGGAAAGTGAAATAAAAACCTTGACTGAAACGGATATGTCTCTTTAAAAAAAAGGATGCTGCCATTAGACACAGCTCAGGAGAGCGCATCTGAATATCGGGTGGCTTTGCAACATGGAGCATCGCTGGCTTCTGCTCCTTTTAAGAGTGTTTTTGTTGGCTGCACACGTTACCTGTTTCCCAGGCATCATAGCCGGGAGGAGTCCGTCGGTCATAGCAGGAGGTCTGGTGAGCTGGGTCCTCTTACCTTTCCAATCACAAGGCGTTTTGCTTGGGCGGCTGTCACTTCCGTGAGGGGAACAGATGAGCAGGCTCAGACTTTACTTGTCCACGTAGAGTGCTCGCACTATCTCTGGTTGGTAGAGCGTTTAGCTTTCCTGAAGCCCTCTATAAAGAGTACGTCTTGTTAGCCACAGCACAGCATTCTGGGGAACCCTGGGCAGGGACTGTGGGCTACTGGTCATGACTGCAGGTTTGCTACTGTGGCTTCTTTCTCGGGATCCCCTTTCCTGCATCTAGGAAAGGGGAGTGTTGGTCTTTCCCTCCAGATCCCAATTCTCTGAGTCTATGATCTCGTTTGATAATGTGTACTAATAGCAGCATTGGCTACCTTCCCAAGTATCTTGATGCCACATTTCCTATAAAAATCACTCACCTTTAAGGTGAGTTTGGCAAATTTAACATTTTGACTCGTTCTTTTTTTTAATTATTTTTTTAATTAAATCTTTATTGTTCAGATTATTACATTTGTTCCTCTTTTTCCCCCCCATAACTCCCCTCCTCCCAGTTCCCGCCCCACCCTCCGCCCTCACTCCCCACCCACTGTCCTCATCCATAGGTGCACAATTTTTGTCCAGTCTCTTCCCGCATCTCCCACACCCCTTTCCCCCCCCAAGAATAGTCAGTCCATTCCCTTTCTATGTCCCTGATTCTATTATAATCAACAGTTCATTCTGTTCATCAGATTATTTATTCACTTGATTCTTAGATTCACTTGTTGATAGATGCATGTTTGTTGTTCATAATTTGTATCTTTACCTTTTTCTTCCTCTTCCTCTTCTTAAAGGATACCTTTCAGCATTTCATATAATCCTGGTTTGGTGGTGATGAACTCCTTTAGCTTTTCCTTATCTGTGAAGCTCTTTATCTGACCTTCAATTCTGAATGATAGCTTTGCTGGATAAAGTAATCTTGGTTGTAGGTTCTTGGTATTCATCACTTTGAATATTTCTTGCCACTCCCTTCTGGCCTGCAAAGTTTCTGTTGAGAAATCAGCTGACAGTCGTATGGGTATTCCCTTGTAGGTAACTGAGTTTCTTTCTCTTGCTGTTTTTAAGATTCTCTCTTTATCTTTTGCTCTTGGCATTTTAATTATGATGTGTCTTGGTGTGGTCCTCTTTGGATTCCTTTTGTTTGGGGTTCTCTGCGCTTCTTGGACCTGTAAGTCCATTTCTTTCACCAGGTGGGGGAAGTTTTCTGTCATTATTTCTTCAAATAGGTTTTCAATATCTTGTTCTCTCTCATCTTCTGGCATCCCTATAATTCTGATGTTGGTACGCTTGAAGCTGTCCCAGAGGCTCCTTACACTATCCTCGCATTTTTGGATTCTTTTTTCATTTTGCTTTTCCGGTTGGGTGTTTTTTGCTTCCTCGCATTTCAAATCATTGACTTGATTCTTGCGCTCCTCTGGTCTGCTGTCGGGAGTCTGTATAATATTCGTTATTTCAGTCCGTGTATGCTTAATTTCTAGTTGGTTCCCCAATATAACATCGAGGGTCTCGTTAGTTTTCTTGTAGATCTCATTAAGTTTATCGGCGGCTTCTAAACAGTTCTTGAGAGACCTTAAAAGTGTGTTTCTGAACTCTATATCTTCCATTGACAATTTTGTCCTGTTTCTTTGTCTCCGCATTTTGTTATGCTTCCTTGGTGCACCCCCTAGTGGTCTTTGTTCGCAGTCTTATAATTAAACCTTGATTGTTGTAGCTAATACCAGGGAGGGTTTGACCTCCAGGCCAAGTGGCTATGAGAATCAGCTGTGTCAGCAGTGAGAGAACTTCTGTCCTCTAGGGAGGTGCTAATCTAGCCTTTGCCTGAGGCTATCCGGCAAATGCCTCTGTGCAGGGCTTGGGCGGGGCGGGTCGCACAGGATCAACAGGGTGGGCCGGAGAGAGCAGTTATGGCGGCTCTCAGTCCTGTCCCCAGGGGCTCTGCCTCTCTGAGTCCCAGCACCCACTGCAAAGCTCGGAGAGAAAGCTGCACTCGCTCTGACCAAAGCCAGACAGTCCCGCTTCTCCCGTTTGAGTCTGGGTTGCTAGAGACTCGCCCGGATCTGGAGCTCAGAGTCTGAGACTCCCTCCCGATTGAAAACGCCAACAGCGCCCTCCGCCGCCAGCCCGCTCCGCACTCCGCACCTCAGAATTTGACTTCAGCACTGCGCCTCCTCTGAGTGTCCGTATGCATTTCTCTTTCCTCCTAGTTGTAGGACTTGCACTCAGCCAGCGTTCCTGTGGTTCTGGGTGATGTCCCTTCAGTCTTTTAGTTTCACTTTTGAAGTAGTTGTTCAAAGCAGCAACCTCCGGCGTTAACCTATGCCGCCATCTTGGTTCTCCCAACATTTTGACTCGTTCTTAATCTAGGGATTCGTTCTCCGAGTGGGAACATGTAAATAATGATTGCCACCGTTTACATAGCACTTACTATGTGACACGTGCTGTTCTAATGCGTTATTTATTTTCACAACAACCCCGTGAAGCAGGTAGGCAGAAATGACTCCAATTTTACAACTTTAAGAAATGATTTCAACTGAATTTTGTTTCTGCTACAGAAAAATACATTGGAAAAGCGGTCAAAAGGGAATGATGGTTAA